GAGATAGAACTATATTACAAGTTGTTATTCAGTTGTAGCTGAGAGAGGAGGAATCTGTCTTTTCTGAGGACCAGAATCAAAAGAGTATCTCTAATCCCACATAGATAATCCTGGACATATGGAGATACAAGCAATATTAAATGGCTCTCTATCTTTCTTACTCTATGTCTGTGTGTGTGCATGCATGCATGCATGCGTGTATGTGTATGTGTGTGTGAGTGCCTCTGTGTGTGTGTGTGTGTGTGTGTGTGTGTGTAAAACAATAATGATTAATGACACTACTGATTGAAGAGGGCATGAGATTGCTTTGAGGGAAAGAGGCAGATGGGAATGATGTAGGTAACAGTGTTCATGTATTTAGTTCTCAAAAATAAAAAAAAAACTTAAATTGTTGTTGATGGAAGTTTCTGTCCTGACTGGTCCTGTGTCACTTTCGTCCCAAATGAGCACACAGAAGCTTATATCAATTACAAACTATTTAACCTATTGCTCATTCTTACTACTAACAAACGCTTACAGTTTAAATTAACCCATCATACTTATCTGTGTTTAGCCTTTTCTCAGTAAGGCATTCTAGTCTTACTTCCTCTGCCTCTTCCTGGCCACTACATCTCTGCTTTCCTCCTCCTAGTATTCTCCTAGTCTGGTTGTCCCACCTGTACTTCCTGCCTGGCTTCCGGCCAATCAGCATTTTATTAAACCAATATGAGTGACAATTCTTTACAGTGTGCAAGACCGTTATTGTACATCAAAGTTTAAAAAAATAAAAAGTATCATAAGACTTTCATAATTATTTCCTAAGGACTTCTCTATGAGAAACCCTATTTATATTTGGGGTTCTTAACAGTGAGGTGGGACTCTTATTTTGCTTTCTTAGATATCCTAAGTTTATGAGGGAGGGCTGAATTTAACAATTTATTTCCTAAGAAGAGAATACCAAAAGTAAAGAGAACTTCGTGACAGAAAAATTGGCAAAGAATATTACAGTTTTGACATAATAAGTGGTACCTGACCCCATGAGATTGGTTAATGATTATTCACAAGAACCGCAATGAAAGTTGAAACAGGAAAAATATTACAAAACTCAAACTGAGAAATGCCACAAAATCCCTAATCCTCACTTTCAAAACTCTCAGGATCAGGGCTGGGAAGGTGGCTTCTTGGTTATGTGCTTCTCATGCAATTGTGGGAACAAGAGTTTGCATCCTAATGTCCTGTGTAACAAACCAGGAGCAAGTGTGCTTGTAATTGTCATGCTGGGGAGGAGACAGGAATATCCCTGAGGCTTACCAGCTAGCCAGGCTAGCCAAGTTTTGAGCTGTAAGTTCTATTGAGAAAGCCTGCCTTGAAAAAAATAAGGTGGACAGTGATTAGGGAAGAAACCAAAGTAGACCTTTGGAGTCCAACTGTGTGTGTGTGTGTGTGTGTGTGTGTGTGTGTGTGTGTGTGTGTGTGTGTGTGTACACCCTCGGGATCTTAAAATTAAAAGAATCTGATAAACTGTCAGAGTGCAGGGACTGGAGGCATCTTTAGGGGATGCTAATATAGGGGAAAGTGTTCAAATGTGAACTTAGTTTATTGCAGTGTTCGCATGGTTTCTCAGTTTTAATAAAAATTTGGAGGCAAGATGAGAGCATTACAAAATGCTGCCTATACTAAGATTGAAGGAATTTGCCTATGCTGTGAATTCTAGGACTATATAATGTTAGGATAGCCCCATTAACGATAGTGAGCAAATGAATGTCTAATGCACCTTGCTTATGCGGATTCCCTGGTGGAGTAGGTATATGCCCATTTTCTCAATCAAGTAACACTGGCACAGTCACCAGCTCAGTGCAGACTTGAATTTATACAGTGTTGAAATTTTTAGTACTTGAGGAAGAACCTGTCTTCTGTGATCCAGGTATTGTGTTATTTTAATTGTTACCTAGAATTAGAAAGACAGGCCAGTATCTCTCTCTCTCTCTCTCTCTCTCTCTCTCTCTCTCTCTCTCTCTCTCTCTCTCTCTCTCTCTCTCTCTCTCTCTCTCTCTCTCTCTCTCTCTCTCTCTCTCTCTCTCTCTCTGTGTGTGTGTGTGTGTGTGTGTGCTCCTGTACCCATGTGCATATGGTATCTATTAATGGAGAATAATTTGAGATATTAGAAGGGAGATAAATAGCTTGAGAAGGCAATCAAATTTTAGTTGCAAGAAAATCTCCATCAAGGACTAAAGCCTTAAAGGTTGCTAGTGAACTTTCTGTTTCCTTTTGTCTTTCTTCTTCTCATTTTAAACTACCACTACCACTCTGATTTATTAGTGATTGTTTCTCGATACAAGTAAAATAGCAAGGCTATCACAGATTGTGAGTTGTTTTGCTCTGTCTGGCCCCACCTTCTTCATGCATTTCTAAAGCTGATTTTTTCCTTCCTTCCTTCCTTCCTTCCTTCCTTCCTTCCTTCCTTCCTTCCTTCCTTCCTTCCTTCTTTCCCTCCCTCCCTCTCTCCCTCCCTCCCTCCATCCTTCCTTTGTTTCCTTTTTTTTTCTCGAGACAGAGTTATCCTATAGTTTTAGAGCCTGTTCTGGAACTTGCTCTGTAGACCAGGCTGGCCTTGAACTCACAGATATCCTCTTGCCTCTGCCTCTGGAGCGCTGGGACTAAAGGCCTGTGCCACCACAGCCCAGCCTAAAGCTGACTCTTTTGTCATGTGGATAAGAAACTTATTACATTGCATCTCTTCATACATTTGTTGTGGTTCTTTCTTTACTTACATTATAATCATAATAACATCACCGGTAACTTTTTAAAAAGATCGTGATCACGGCACTGTTTCATGATAATTTAGAATTCGCCAATACTTGAAAATAATATCTACGTATTGATAACCATTCCCATTCCCCTTGGTAGACTCATCTCTTTCCAGCAGAGTAAATCTGAAAGCAAAGCCTGTTTAAGCTTCCACTTGCCAGTTAGCCAAAATATGGTTTTAAGGGTGAACTCAATAAACAATCTTCTCAGAAGAAGGATGCAGGGGAAGAGTGGTTCTGCGGGGGGGGGGGGGCACGTATGCACACTTTCATAGCAGAATGGATATTTAAAGGCAGGTGGGAGCACATTTGTCCTACAGTGTGGTGTTCTTTGTAGATTCACGAGCTCGAGGAGCTATCCCTATGCTCTACTGCCACCTTGGCATATCAGAAGGATTTACAACGGAATTCTTCACTGAGGTCTGGAAGGAACTCCTTAGGCCTCTCAGGAGGCAGGGCTCAGATAGGCTTTTGGAGTGGCTTCTATTCACAGTGACTTGGGTATGTTTCCGCGTGGGGGGCGGGGATCTATTCCGAGGAAAAGCAGGATTCGCTTTCGCTTTTGAAACCAGCCGGTTTCAGCAAGGTCTACCTGTGACTCTCGGAGCATTCTGACAGCTTCCTGCTTCTTTCTTTAGTACAGATTAGATCCTGAAAAAGCGATTCTGCCCTTGCACGCATCCGCATCTGGGTTTGCTCTCAGATCACAGTCTTGACTCATTTGAGTGTGAAGGGTAGAGAAGAGGAGCCTGAGAACGATTTTCTCAGAATTAAGTTTCTTCTCAGGGTCAGCGAGATGGTTCTCTGCTCATTCAGTTAACTTCCTGGAAGTTCTGAATGCTTAGGCAAAGCTATTTACTAAATCCAAGCAGGAGTTTATTATCTGATTAACCTGTTCCAAGCAAGCCAGGGAGACACTGTTGGTCAAATCGCCTTTAAAGCTGATCTGCTGTTTCAAGGCTCCCCCTTCCTGCTTTTTAATTTTTTCTTCATTTTTTGTTTTGTTTTTTTATTCCTCCTCTATCCCCCGTGTATTTACATTTTAGCCTTTCTCTTTGTGACTATTTCCCCAAACACGTATCATGTTTCTTTTTCTTTTTTTTTTTCTTATCCACTGGTTCCTCAGGTGTCTTGATCTTTCTTACTTGAATGATGTCATTTAGTTTACACTGGCCTCGGATGGGTAGGTGGGAGGCAACTGTCCTTGTGGTTTCATTTAAATTTGCCAGGAGTGGGTGGGTACCCTCCTCCATTCCTCTGGCGCTGCACTATTCTGTTAAGAGTTAGAACTAGATCAGAGATTTCCAAGTCTTCCAAGCGCAGCTGAGAAAGGAAATGATACCAGGGGCGGGGTGGGTTGGGGTGGGGGTGGGGGACGACGACACAGAAGTAAAGGAATAAAAGCCAACTTTTCTGGCAACTTCAGTAAATCCGGTAACTGGAGGTAAAAAATAGATTGTGAGGGCTGGGTCTGGTTCGGATGAAATGCTAGGCTCCTTACCAATTCCCGAGTCTGGCTCGGAAAGCGCGCCACTGGCATCTTGCCACGCGAGTGCCCCTAGACAGCCACACGCCCCCTGGAACTGCACGTGAACAAAAGCTTTTGCCGGGAGAGCCACCGCCTGCGGTTTCTCAGCGCAGCAATCTTGCTTCTACCCGGAGTGTAGGGTGAATACAGGGTTAAGCTAGCTCCCTCCTCGGTGGGAGGGAAAGGAGGGGGGAGGGGGACGGCAGCATTCTGTCTCGCTGCCGGGTACCTTGCAGTTAGCTGTACATTTGAAAGCGGTCGCCATCACTCGTGAGTTTGGCGTCATCCATTGTCACCACCAAGGAATGTGCGCTGGGAGATAACACCAAGTGCAGGCAGGGCCTCTCAAACAAGCAGAGCTCTGTCTACTTCCAGGTGCGCTCCATTCTGGTCCTCCGTCCCGAGTTCCCAGCAGCTGAGGCAGCAGCTCACAACTGGTCACGGCGTCCACTGAGCCTCAGGACCAGGGTGGCAGTTCTCAACGATGGACAGGAGGGACCTCGGCGGCGACCCCTAAAACAATACCATGCCCGGGGAGTCCCTCGGCGGCCGTGCCAGCTTCTTCCCTTTCCACCTCCCCGACCCGGTCGGATTCGGATGAGCTAAGGAGACAAGACCACCAGGTAAAGGAATTGCTATATGCCAGGTGAAGTTTCTAGTGACTGTCCTAGCTTTTCTGACGTGGGCACCACGTTATTTGGGAAAATTTACTCTTTTTTTTTCTTCTTTGAACAAGTGGTGGGTGGTCACCGGGTGGGTGTTCTAGATATTGTCTCTTTTTATACCCAAAGAAAACAGATTTTTTTTTCTCTCTCTCTACCCCTACTTGGAGGACTTCTATATTCTCGTCTTATCCACATAGTCTAGAGAGTTTTGTGACTGAGTTGTGGGGTAAAAACCCCTCATTTTCTGCCTGCCTGAAACATCGATCCTATGTGGAGTTTTCCAAATCCCCCATGCTTTTAGAACTCCAGCTTCTCATTCCCCCTATAATGACTCTCTTAAGTCCGGTAAGTCGCAGCATCCCGTACTCATCTGTGTTGAATGACAGAGTGTTAAATTATTATCAAACGTCCCTATCTGAAACCTCTACCCCCGTTGTGCCCTAAATCCGGGATTAATTAGCCATTAAACTGATGATGCTGGTTCGTTTTCTTTCCAATCTAGTGTGATTTTTCCTGCTCTGATCTTGTTCCAGGGACTGGTAGTTCCAGGGCTGGTGTAATTGCGCTTCCACAACTCACCCGCGGGGGATGGCGAAGTCCCCTGGAGCTCCCAATACTGACCTATGATCACTTTCCCTGCGCTGCATGCCTGGGGCATAGAGTTGGGTCCTTCTATGCCACCAGACTCTGAATGCAAGGCCAAGCAGACGCCAAGAGTACTAAGGGGAAAAGACCTATCCAACTGTCCCCACCAGGCTAGGGACCTCCTGGATAGATTTCTGTGTTAAATTAACCTCTCCAGGGCTATTCCTGGCGCTTTCAGCGCCGGTGCGAATCCCTTCTGTTTCGTAATCCCTTCCAAGATCAAGGGTCCGAGCTAGCTAAGGACTCTGCACTAATCAGGGGAAGGAAGATTGAGGAAAGAGCCTGTCTGTCTTGGAAAGACTGGTCCCACACTTGCTGTTTGAATACATTATTTTTCCTGCTGGGGGCTTGGGCAGGGGCAGTGTCTGCTGAAGGCTACCGCCATCTCTGCTGTCATCTTGGTGTTTCTCTTCAGAAGTCCTCGAGATGACTCTATATATTCTCCTTAGATCAGAATCTCCATTCATGCCCGGTTCTCTCCTGGATATTTGTCAGTTGCGCTTTGAGTTTGGAGAACAGACAGGCTAAACATAAGTGTTTTTTAGTAGCCTTTGTGTATATAAAGGACGGGGAAGAGTGGCAAGCTCTCTTGAACCTCAGCGGTGTCTGCCAATGTGTGCGAATGAATGTGTCTGGGTGCGTTTTGGGTGGATCCTTGTGTGGCTTGGGAGACAAATCGGGCGTTTCTCCAAGTAGTCTTACCAGGATTTAAGCGCTGAAATCCATGAAGGTAGCAGACACAACAGCGATGTAAGGAAATAAAAACAATTGGGGAAGTGGTGCCAAGTGACTCAGACTTTGAACTGAGGACAAGGAGTGCGGTCGCGCCTGGGGTTCGTCCGGAAATCATCTCCAGCGGGTTCCAGGCAACGCCCTTGCCAAAGTCGTCAGCCCAGAATGTTGAGAAGATCCCCAGGGAGTTGGTCCAGGATGAGCTTTCAACTTGCAAATTGCTTTTCCTGGGGCCCTACCCACAGCGCGCCTCATTGCAGCCTAATGCTTGGTGCGGGCTTGTTCTCCCTCTTCTGTTAGTATTCCGCCCCTCTCCAGACTAGTTAAAACACGATCACAACTTGCTGGAGACTCTGGGCAGCAGTGAATGGAGGAACAAATCAGGCCACCACCCCCTTGCCAAAAAGAGAGGAAAAAGATCAAATGAAAGAGACTTGTCTCAGATTTCTTAGATTACTCTTTAACCTTTTGCAAAGGGAATCCCAAGTGGGAAAGGTGTGCCGATTGAACGTTTTGACTACACAGCCCGTTTTCATAGTCTTTGCAGCAGACGTTGTCGGTTGTCCATCGTAATTTAGAGAGACAACTCATCTACTGAACATCACTCTTGCCAGGAGCAGCCAGGGTGACAGGGGAAAGTGGATGTGCTTAAATATGATGCCAAACTCTAATTCCTCCAATTAAAGTTTATGGAAGAAAGCTTGACTAGCAGACCTTTGACGCGCTGGGGTTGCCGCACAACCCCAATGTTGCCTGCGAGGGAAATAACGCCATTTTGGTTGAGAGACTTGCTATATTTTTACCCTGTAATGTTAAGTTTCGATCATTTCTGAGTCTAAGTAACTGCTCCTCTGGCTTACACGTCCAGCAGCCGAACTACAGGGAAGGGTACTTCACCATTCAGAGAAGCTGAGGGTAGGGAGGACGCCTGAGGCTTAAGGATAGAGAGAGACGCGGAGCTGGGTCAAGTTGGCATTCCTGGGGTAGCCGGGTACACCTAACTCTCTCCAGGGAAGACAGGGTTAAAAGCCCCATCTGACTTTGCCTCTTGGAAAGCTTAGGTTTGCGGCGGCTCCTCCCAAGCATTCTTTAAACCAGAGAAGTGGGAGGGACTCGGCTTGGGAGGGAGGAGAAGAGGGAGGCCAAGTAAGAGGACTCCAAGAGGGGAGCGCGCCAGAGCACGAGGGACCGAGGGAGAGGAGGGGCGCGCAAGCTGCAAAGCCGGTCCCGCGAATTCATTACAGTAAACATCTCCCGGGAGTGTCAAGAGGGGTGGGGGTGGGGACCTTGGCGTCTACATTAGCGGCCGGGTCCGATCTAGGCAGCAGTGTGACTGGAGCAGCTTCCAGACCCGCGCCCCGCAGAGGCTGCACTTGGAGTCAGCCCCGCGCCCGCCCCCGCGCAGCCAGCCGGAGCTGCACGCCCTGCTGCGCGTGGTCCGCACACTCGCCGCGACCGAGCGCCCGCCCAGTTCTCCCAGGACCCAGTTCGCCCGCGGTCCTCTGTCTCCCAGCAGTCCCGGACTCAGTCGGGACGCTCTCCTCCGCCCTCCTAGAACGCCCTACTTTTGGGGGATTTCGAGGGGGGAGAGGGGGAGACGAAAGAGCAGAGGAGACCGGAGCTGCGGCTACCCGAGCCTAGATAAAGTGGCATGCCTGACCCCCTGGAGGCGGAGGTGGCGGAGGACGGGGGAAGACGATGCCGCGGCTCCGTAGGGGATGTAGGCGACCGCGAGCAAGGCAAGCCGAGCGCTCAGGCTCCCGCAAGCTGCCGGGAGGCGCGCACCGCTCTGAGGCTCTGGCCTCAGCTTCTAGGAGCTCCGACACAGCCAGAGACCTTGCTGGGTTGCAGCCGCCGCCGCCGCCACCACCTGGAGGACCCAGCAAAAGTTTGGATCTGGGGGAGGGCGCTGCTCTGAGCGGGATTACCAGCAGGGCTGGAGGGAGATCTGGAAAACCTTAGCAGGTAAATGCGCACCCTTAACCCTGCCTCCCCCACTCTGGGTTTGGAGAGCCTTTAGCAGGGTTAGCAGGTTTGGTCAAAGTAAGACGGGGGGGGGTGTTAAGTTCAAGGTCCCAGGGACGGGTATTCAGCATTGGCAGTTCCACAGTCATGTTAGCTGGGGATAGGAATGGGAGTGTGTGGCTGTGGGGGTGGGAGGTGTCTTGGTGTTTCTTAGTGCCAGATTGGCAGCTGTGTGAATCGACCCCCCCACCCAAGTGGGGGAGACCCCTGGGCCTCAGCTGGTGTCTGATTCTGTACAGTTTGAACATTTAGAATTGTGGATCCAAGGACTTTTAAGTGTGCCTCAATCCAGGGAATGATTGATGGATCTCATTCACCCTCATTCTCGCATTCTCTCAGCCCTATTTCCTATAAAAAGAAAGGACGCTTACTTTTGCTTGCCTGCTTCTCTGCTTTCTCTGAATCTTAGCTTTGGACAGGGTTATGAATCTTGAAAGCAAAATGGAAAGACGTATAATCCCACCCCCCACCCTATCCCAGACATCCTCGGAGTCTTCCCTAATTTCATTCACCTTCTGGTGTCATAAAATATGAGCTATAAAAGTCACATTTTCATTGAAGGGTAATATGAAACGTTAGTCATTGGAGATGTAAATTTGCTCTTTTTGGGGGGAGAGGAGAGAAGAGGTATGGTCATGGATGTGCATGTATGTTCCATTGCCTGGGGATAGTGATTTTGCAGAGAGCGCCCCTTTTTCCTTTGGCCTGATACTCAGTGATGTGGGGGAGCTGAGAATAGCCTCCAGTGTGCAAGGAGGCTAGGGAACCAGAGGGAAGACACTCACCATTTTTTAACAGCAGCTCCATGCACTTCAGCTAACAAAATAGCTACTGCTCACTCCTGGACAGGCAGCAGAAACGATTCAGCACCACCATGACCCCTTAAGACACTATAGAGTTCTGAAGCAACTCTTGAGGCCTTGGTATCATCTTTATTATGATTATCACTATTAATTCTTCTGGAAACTCCTGGTACATTCTCTGAATGAATATCTTCCCCCTGAGAGCTTGTGATTAGTTCTAATAGAGGGTATCTCCCAGTAAAGCTAACAGTAAACTAATCAAGTAAATGCAAGGCGCAAATCCCTGCAAATGCTCCTCCAGGAGTGCAAGGTGCTGATCAGATTTCTTTGCATGCTGTGTCTGCTGTCTGCAGCCTCTTCTAAATGGGAGCCATTGCTCCCCCATTCAGCTGGGAGGCTACTTACATCACACAGGGTTCCAGTGAGCTTCGGAGCATGTCCACTCACTTACAGGACTATTGCTAAATTTATTATGGCTAACTTCCCCCAGCCCAAAGCTAAGGTGAAGGATGTCTTCCATATCAGAGCAGGATCCTCTCTAGTCCTACCTGGTATGACCTTATTAAATCAGCGAAGAAGTATTTCCCAAACATTCTGGGGTAAATAGAATGCCTGGTTGGCATTTATCCAGGGCTGTATTTGATTGTTGCCGTATGGATATAAAATTTTAGGTCAGGATCTGAAATGTTAGAACTGGATTATGTCTTTTAAATCACCAAGGATATTTACCAGATACATGTGGCTTGGCTGGCCACCATATTAGAGGAGAATCAATCTTTAGGGAATATGCACACCAAGAAAAGTTGCCCATTTTATTGCCTCTGAATGCATGCAATTCCCCCCACCCCCATTTTTTTTTAGAAGCCTGAGAAGAAATCAAAACAGGCTAGGGTAAAACTCTTTAAGGACCTTTACTAATGACTGTTGACAGCACGGCACCACACTGTTACAATAAGTTGCAAATATCTGTGACTGTAGGAAGTTGGAAGACATGATTTTAAACATTATTCTATGTGTTGGATGGTAGGAACACGGAACTGTAAAATGAGTTGAATCAACTCTACTGTTGCAAAACCTGCTTTAGACAAGGAATGCTGGGCTTCTTTCTTTTGGGGGGTACCTATATCTTCACGCTTAATGTAGTTTACTACAGTTTTACAAATTCTAGGAGATGCTTTAAAACTAGTAAATTATGCCATGCTGGCCTACTCTGGGGTACTCAAGTGTTTTCCTGTATGCAAGGTTTGAGATGATGTGATCGTATCTGAGTTTGAAAAGCTGAATCTCATTTGAACCTCCTCTGATGCCCTTTCCATTTACTTTGGTCTGTTGGATAGCTTGACTTAGATTTAGACCAACCTTATAAAGCAGTGGTTAAGCTTCCCTAGTTGAAGTTGTGACTTAAAGTATGTCCACAACCAGAATTCTCATTCTGTAGACACTGGGATGGATCATCTAGTCTAATTTGACTCTTCAGCTCTATATGTTTACAAGGAAGAATGGCTGCATTTGTGGTCAGCAGTTCCTTAGTTTCAAAATGAATAAATAAAAGGAAACAGTGAGGGCACTCAGAGATCCTACTGCCTGTTTAGAATATTCCAGTAAGGTGAAGGGGATGAACTCTGTTTCTGTTTGGTCCATAATTTTATGGATAATCATCTTTTGGTTTATTTAATTTTAATTCAAGTTTCCCCCCAACACACATACTGGATTGCTTTAATAACTTTGTGGTTTCTGTCACACCGATTCAAATTCAGTCCATTAGTGACCTCTATCTGTGAGAAGTGAATACTCATTGTTTTTCTTTCTTCTCATCAGCATCTGCAGACAGACGATGTGTGTCTGGGGACCTGCCAGTTCCATAGATCTTTCTGAATATTTCATATTTTTTTCTAATTTGATTTTTCTAACGCAGAGTTCAGTGCAGATAATGATATTTAATAACAATAATAAAATGTTATCATGGGATGGAGTCCTACTAAATAATTATTCCATAAAACATTGACAATATGATCAACATAAATTAAAACCTAGCAATGTATACTGCCTGAAAGAATTGTACACTCAAGGCCACTGTTGTGTTGAGACTTACAATGCTGCTGCTGAATGTCTGTGGAATTTTATTGCCCCTAAGTGCTTACATAACAGGGGAAACTTGAGACAGGCCTGGGAAGTAAATGTGGTAACCTGACTTTTTTGTAGCAATGTGCATGTGTCTTTAAATTCAGCTTTGCTTCTGCTGTGAACTTAGCTGCAGATGAGGGACTAGGTGGAGTATAAGAAGGGTATTTCTAAACAGATGGTCCTTTTAAGGAGAAATCTAAAAACCTGACTCTTAATCTAACTTTATCTTCTGGGCTTTTCAAGTAGAAGCCCGAATTTTAGTTGATTATTGGAAATGTTAATTGAAGCCAAAGTTTTCTGCAATTCTTAACTTGGGTGGATATCATTATCTGACATTTTCCACATGTTTTTCATGTACTGGTCTTTGGGATGTGGAGGTTTTAGGAGTTTTTCTTTCTTTCCCTTGGGCAGGTTTTATACCAAAGACATTTTTAATGACCAATTATTGTTATTATTGAAGTTAAACAACCATTATAGTATACCCAGGGGCTTTCTTTCTTACTGTTCCTGCCCTCATTTATTTGCCTTTGTGAAATCATATTTTTTCCTCTACAACTATATATTGAGGGAAGGAGCGGTGTTATCAATATGTTGTGACTCTCTCTAATGAAAAGCAAACTCCAAGTTTATAACAAAATGGAAACCCATACACCTCAATGGCTATTTTCGGACTGATTCTTTTCAAGGGTATAAATATATTCCTTTTTTTAAGGGCTACGACACAAATATAGTAATAAAAATATCCTGTGTTCTGATGAATACAGAGGTTTACTTCAGTTGCATGAAACAGTAAAACACTGTATTAGCAAAATAATCACTGGTATTTTGAGTACATGGTCAAAATCTGTTAGAACCTTCCTATCCCCTCCCCCCATTTTTTTCTACCCTTTGGCAAATTTCACATCTACTGGTCTTTTTTTTTTTTTTTTGGTTTTCTTTGATTCTTTCTACTGTGGCTCTTTGAAGTGCTTCAAAATTAAACAGTAGCTACTTTTTAGGGAAATTCATCATGCTATGTTCAGGATTCCAGGAGAGTTAATGACGCAGAAAAAGTCCTGTAAAACGTCTTTCTAAAAGAAGTCCTTCTCCTGAAGGCTTCCTACTTACTGGCCTCCTGTACCATTTGCAGTGAATTGGAACTCCGTTATTTATTTTTCAAATACCACCTCTAACTTAATTTAATGCGGGATGTGTTTCTGCAGAAGTGTGCATTGACTTGTGTTCCCGAGTCTCTTGAACAAAGCAGTGTCGTTGTTACCAAACTGCAATAAGGGAAGGTCACAGAAAATCCTGTGGTATAATTGAGGAAGTCAGAAGGCCTCATTCACAATCCTCAAACACTGGTCAGTTACGCTCTGATATTTAATAAGGACATATTTTTCTTTTCTTGCCAGCTTAGTGGTTAAAGACTTCAGCCATTTTTGGAAGCATTCACAAAATAAGTCATTGGAGCTGCAAACCATTGCCTTTCCTTGATTATTCTCATGTTAATTTTAGAGAAATGTGCAAGAAACTTGGAAGAAGCCTTCCTTTGACCTAGGCTTACAGGCCCTATTGTTCATTTCAGTTATAGTGCTGTTTTCCAGTTCTTTTTATCCAAACTTTCATAAAGATAAAAGAATACCCCAGACAAACTTTTGAAGACTCTGAAGGGGTTTGGAGTTTAGCCTACTGAAAAGTAAGTCTGAAAGTTCATAGATTCCAATGTTCACTGAGACCACCTTTTCCAGGAGTGAAAGAGCAGAGGGTCCTGTGTAGGTTCATAAATACACTGCTCACTGGAGTCCACACAGGTCACATGGCTAAGTGGAAAGCATTAGACACATATTAGTCCTGAAATAGGTTCACATGTTGGTGTCACTCTTAGCGCCAGCTGGTTGTGGGTGTCACTTTCATGAGAACCCTGTGTCAAGACAACCGTTGGGATCATTTTCTTTTATATTTTGCTCCCAAGCTTGGATGCAGATGCTTGGAGAAAGGAATTATGAAGGGGTTCCAGTGCTTAACTACATG